CAAGCTCCATCTAACTCTGGCTCCCACAACCACACTCGACCCCTGTGTAAAACTAACTTGACTGTGGACTTTACAGGGTGGACAACGAACGATCTTATGACAAGTAATGCGGCGAACCTGGATATCGAGTCCCACGTACCGAACCACAATTCGTATGTCGGCAGATGTGTCCTCCATACTGCCTCCCTGCGATTCGACGGCGCTCCTCGATATAACGACGGGGCCCTGAACGTGGACTTGACAGAATTCCAGACCAACCTGGTGCCGTATCCCCGCATCCACTTCCCTGGCCACCTACGCCCCTGTCATCCTCAGCCGAGAAGGCCTACCACTGAGCAGCTGTCCGTGCCGAGAATCACCAATGCCTGCTTCGAGCCGGCCGGCGAATCAGATGGTCAAGTGTGACCCTCGCCATGGCAAGTACATGGCCTGCTGCATGTTGTACAGGGGGGACGTGGTCCCAAAAGACGTCAACGCGGCCATTGCCACCATCAAGACCAAGCGCACCATCCAGTTTGTGGACTGGTGTCCGACTGGATTTAAGGTAGGAGTGGGTGATGTCGATTCTTTGTACCTGTCAGCCAGCAGCAGACCAGGGCTGTCCCTGTGGGGAGACTGCCTCTGTTCTGTTGTTTGGGCTCTTGGTCGTAAGTTAGCGAGCCAGAGTGATAATTTATTTTGTGTTGTTATTTGAACTTCCTTACTGAGTTATCAGATTCTATACCTGTGGTGAGCTTTTTTTTTTTTTTTTTAAACAGTAAGGCACTTTTTGAAGGATTTCTGTGCCCCTCTTTTGGCTGATAGAATTTAGTGTAGAAAATGTAGGTTAAATGTAGACATTTGAGAGTATCTTGGTGATTCACATGAATAGTGTAGAGATTTTAACTTGGGCATTGTTATCAACTGACTGCTGCCACTAAGTCCCCCTTCACTCTATAGATCTGTAGAAATTAAATCAAATTTGAATGTCCTATGGAGTGTTTGATTTAAACGAAAACTATCATGAATCTTTTTGTGACAAGAATGGCAACATCTTTATTTCCCTCTTGGTAATCTTAGGAATTCTCGCCTGGTTTTTGCCTGAAACCCAAAATATGTACCAACCTTCCAGTGACACAAGATAGAAACTTTACTGTCACTTTTTAGCTTTTCCAACAGTTGAGTACTCAATCCTGTCAGTTCTTTCTGTCCTAGGTCTGCCTGTCCTTGCGCCTTTTTTTTTTTTTTTTGAGACAGAGTCTCACTTTGTTGCCCAGGCTAGAGTGAGTGCCGCGGTGTGAGACTGGGTCTCGCTCAGGCTGGTTTCGAACTCCTGACCTCGAGCAATCCGCCCGCCTCAGCCTCCCAGAGTGCTAGGATTATAGGTGTGAGCCACCACGACTGACTTGTTTCCTTTTGAGTTATTTTTTTTTCAGAAGTGGCACAACCTCCTTACAGCCACAAGATAACTACAAAGCCGTACACCACCTGTTTGACTAGAGAAGACAAGATAAGGGACACCTCACCACAGATCATCCCCAAGGACCTGCTGAATAACCTACTGCCCACATCCCACCTGAGCACAAGGCTGAAAGAATGACCAATGACCAATATTAACCCATAGCTCATCATACTATTACTTTGCACTCGGATGTTGAGTGTGACTCGACACAGTTAGCAAAAATTATAGAGATTAAAATCACTCTTTGAATGTATCAATAATTTGAAATATAAAAAAATCCAAATAAATAAGTTTGTATGAAAAGAAACTCCAGTTTTTTATTCTACTGTCGTGCTTTGTAAAATCTGGGGTATTTAAAAAATTAAATCCTGAGTAGAATAAAGGAATCGAGAAAAAAGCAAGCGAGTGCAAAGGGTTAAAATCCCCACCCTGGGAGGGACTCATTCATCATTTTTGATCATGTGATGTATATATTAGTATGATTTCTCACTGCACTTGTGTGTCCTGCACTCCCGTGGAACATGTAGTGATGCTCGCTCCCTTTGTGCATTATTCATTTCTCCTCCATGAAAACCTCTGACCTCCATTGATAGGGGAGGCAGATTTGAGGCAAACCATACCTCTCACCTCCTGGTTGCTGCCTCCTCCGTGATAAATCTGTTTACTTCCTTGACAATCCTCATTGTCTCAGTGGCAACAGAGGGCACCCCCTTTGAGGGCTGGTTAACAAATTGAGTGCATAAGTCCTCTTTCCAGGAACCTTGGAAACCCTGTGTGTCCTTTCACCAAGGTGGGTAGGGTATTCTTTGGCCTTCTGCAGTGACTGTTTACGGAGTCTCTTGCCTTCTATCCTCCCCTGACTTCACACTGCTGCCATATGCACCCCTGAATGGCCATTCCCATCTTCATCTGTTGCTGGTGGGCTTCAGCCCACCCCAGAAAGCCAGATTCCTTGGTCTAACTGTGGTCACACCAGCCCTGTCTAGAACCTTCAGTGTCACCTTCTCCACCATAGTCCATGTGCCCCACAAAACTTCCTGTTCAAAGTCCTCCCTGCCCTCTTGTCTGTTCTGCCACCTCACCCACCCCTCTTTGCGGCCTGGAAAACTCAAGATTCTGTCTTCAACACCTCCTTGCTCAGAAGTCTCAAAGTCTCTCTGGAGGGAAATAAACCCCTTCCTCCTTCCTTGCTAAAGCTTCCCAGCCACTTCTTTTCTGGAACTTATCACAAGGTCCACATCACGTGATCATTCAAGAGTGGGCTTACCCAGGGACTTGCAATGCTTACCAGCACGGAATACCACCATCAGCACCAGTAAAAGGTTGCTGAGTGGCCCTAACGTGTATTTGCACGAGCTTAAGGCTGCAAAGCCCTTTCGCGGTTACCAGCCCTTGTAACTCCCTATGTCCCTGTAAAGCTCAGTAATGAGGCTGCATTTTACAGGAGAGCTTGTGGCACTCAGGAGGTATAAACTACAGCGGCGTACCCTTCTCCCTTCCGCAGCCCCTCACGAGCAGCCAACCCCTCAAGCCCAGCCCTGCCACCTCCTGCTAGCAGAGCATGACTTCCTGCAGCTATACAGCCACGGCGGGGTCACCACTTCCCGCTCAAACTGACCAATCAGAAGGATGACTTCGCCTGGGTCGAAGACGATGGCCAATCGCGATAGGGGCCCCGGCCTAGGCCCCGCCCCAAAGCGACTAGAGCCAATGGCAGTCGCGCGATCGGTGAACCAATCAGGACACCGCATGCAGCGCGGTGGGCCGGCCGTTGGGCGCGTGCATCCGACGGAGAGGAGGTGAGGGCGGCCTGCAGCTGAGGGGCGAGCGTCATGGTGAGCCGGGCGCCGGCGGGGCTGGGCGGCCTAGGAGGGACGGCCGGAGACTGACGGGCCTTGGGCAGCGGCGCCACGTGGACTTGCCCAGCAGGCTGGTGCCTGGAGCGTGCAGGTGAGGGGCGGGCGCAGGTGCAGGCCGCCCGCTGCTGCCCTCGCCCCGGCCTGCCAGGGCGTCCCTTCCTGCCCTTCGCAACACCGGCTGTGGCGCTTAAACCCGCTCCACTTTTTTTCCTATTTTTAGTTGTTTGGCTAATTTCTTTCTATTTGTAGTGGAGATGGAGTCTCACTCTTGCTCAGGCTGGTCTCGAACTCCTGAGCTCAAGCAATCCTCCTGCCTTGCCTTGGCCTCCCCAAGTGTTAGGATTAAGGCGTGAGCCACCACACTAAGCCAGTTTGATGCTTTTGATGCTTGCTCTTAAGCTTATGTGAATTCAGAAAAGCTTTTAGTTTAGCCTTATTTGGCCCTGTGACTGAGGACTCCATTGAATGCTCTTTTAAAAAATTTTTATTATTTATTTAATTTAATTATTTTTAGAGACAAGATCTTGCTCTCTTGCCCCAGCTGGAATGTCATGATGTGACCATAGCTCACTGTAACCTTGAACTCCTGGGCTCAGGTGATCTTTCTGCCTTAGTCTCCTGAGTAGCTAGGACTATAGCATGTACCACCATTCTTGGCTAATTTTTAAATTTTTTGTAGTACTGAGGTCTTGCTATGTTGCCCAAGCTGGTCTCGAACTCTTGGCCTCAAGTGAGGCCTGCTGTCCTGGTCTCATGTCCTGCTTTTTTTTTTGTTGTTAAATATGAGACTGGTCTCGCCATGTTGCCCAGGTTGGTCTTGAACTTTTGGACTCAAGTGATCCTCTCACCTCAGCCTCCTGAGTAGCTAGGACTATAAGAGGATAGTAAATTTGATCATTGATACAACCAAAATTGCTTGACTGCTTATTTTATATTAATTTAAAAAATTAATTTCAAATAAAGATTATGAATTACTTGAAAGATGAGTTTATAATGGCTGTATTTCTATTCTTAGTTCAAGTGTGTCTATACCCATGTGGATATGGAGGTATTCAGATATAAATGATTATGGAAGCTCATGGTACATTATGTCTGAGGAAACCTTTAGAAACCCAAATATTTTACAAATGTTAAAGTATGACATCAGGTCTTATTTGCATTCCATATGGTTTCAAGTTGTCTCAAAGATGAATGGGTGCACATTTATGTTCTGGTTCCCAGCGCGAGTGTATCTCCATCCACGTGGGGCAAGCGGGGGTCCAGATTGGCAATGCCTGCTGGGAACTGTACTGCCTTGAACATGGAATTCAGCCTGATGGTCAAATGCCAAGTGACAAAACCATCGGTGGCGGGGATGACTCCTTCAACACGTTCTTCAGCGAGACTGGGGCTGGCAAGCATGTGCCCAGAGCAGTGTTTGTGGACCTGGAGCCCACCGTGGTCGGTAGGTGCTCCGGCACTGGACGGCAGCTTTCCTGGGGCAGGGTAAAGTCCCACATGGGCTCCTTTGAGTCCCTCTGTGGCAAGGGCAGGATGGACAAGCATATGCCTGTGGTGGTGTTGGGAGAGAAACTGAAAGGCTCACGTGTCTGTGAGACCCAGGCTTCTAATTTAGGAAAACCTGACATGCAAAGAAAAGCTGCTTTGCCAGCGGTCCGGAAAGAGTCACTCTGGATGCCCAAGCCCTGGTCAGGTGGCTGCTGTGGACCCCATCTGCAGGGTGCATGGCCATTGGTTCCTTCCTTGATGCTGTGCACATTCTCATGCAAGTGCATGGGAGTCTTGACCTGCATCTCAGACATAAAAAGGCAACTACAGAACATTCATTTGGTTCCTCTAGATTAGAAGCCTGAGGCAGGCTGCAAGAAGAGACCACCTTTCAGTGGCCCCCCAGGAGATGACAGAATGCCACCTGAAAGCCTGTGAGACCCAAGCCACATAAGGGTGCCCTGATAGGACTATCCTGCAGAAGTCACGCTGACCTGGTGACTGCCTAGTTTGTGAGAGATTTTTAAATTATACTCTTTGATGTAGCTATGGGTAGGAAAGAAATGTGTACCCGTAGAATTACCTGCATGGGGGTGTGAGAGCTTATTGCCCTTCTCTGGGAACTGGTCCTGCTGGCATTTGTACCACAAGCTAAGTTTACCTTCCTAGAGCCATAATTTTTTTTTTTATGGTTTGTGTACCCTACGGAGACATTTCCTACAAGACACTCCCACAGTTGACCTCCAAGGAGCAGCATGTTCTCTGTAGAGGTGCACAGTCCCCGAACGTGTCCATCTTGGTGAGTACCCTAGACCTTAAAGACTCAGAGCACACTCGGTCTGTTTGTAGATGAAGTGCGCACAGGGACCTACAGGCAGCTCTTCCACCCGGAGCAGTTGATCACCGGGAAGGAAGATGCAGCCAATAATTATGCCAGAGGCCATTACACCATCGGCAAGGAGATCGTCGACCTGGTCCTGGACCGGATCCGCAAACTGGTAAGAGGCGCCTGCAAGGCTTAGTGCATTATAGATGTTGTCCTAGATGGGAGGGTAGGCCTTGGATTGTGAAGGGGAGGTTGTTTTGGCAAATCTTAGACCAGCTGTGAAGCATGTGTTGCGACGCATCCATAGATCTTTTTTTTTGTTTGTTTTGAGACAGAGTCTCGCTTTGTTGCCCAGACCAGAGTGAGTGCTGTGGCATCAGCCTAGCTCACAGCAACCTCAAACTCCTGGGCTCAAGCAATCCTCCTGCCTCAGCCTCCCGAGTAGCTGGGACTACAGGCATGCGCCACCATGCTCGGCTAATTTTTTTTCTATATATTTTTAGTTGTCTGGCTCATTTCTTTGTATTTTTAGTAGAGACTGGGTCTCGCTCTTGCTCAGGCTGGTTTTGAACTCTTGACCTTGAGTGACCCTCCCGCCTCAGCTTCCCAGAGTGCTAGGATTACAGGCGTGAGCCACCGTGCCCGGCCTATTGTTTATTTTTTAAAAAAGAAAACGGACATTAACTCAAATAATAGATGCTGCATTTGCTTTTGTACCAATTCTTTGCCATCTGCCATGTACTTACACAGTGAGTTGTGGCTACACCAGCCATGGGTGGCCCATGGTTCCCCTATCAGGTGGCACAGCTCATGTGAGACTCACGCCTTCCACATACCCAAGGACATCTTACATGTTCTGGAGGCACATCTCTTTACAATAAAATGTATAGTCTCCCAAAACTGAAACAGAGCACGCTCAGCTAAATTTAATTGTCCCTAAATGACGTCAGCTCCTCAGTGTGACAACTATCACCCCTCTGTGCTTCTGGGTCTTTCATGTCCCCTTCTCTGCTGGGTGTAAGAGCCTGCTGGTGGTAGTCCCCGTGGGCCACCTGGAAGCCTGGGGGACAGGAACCTAGATGACCTGGCTGCTCCTGCTGCAGCTCTCCAGAGGCGTGGATACAGAGAGATAGCAGCACTCATATGCTGCTGGTGCGACTGCAAACTAGTACAAGCTCTGTGGAAAGCAGTATGGAGATGCCTCAAAGAACTATAAGTATGGCCAGGCACGGTGGCTCACACCTGTAATCCTAGCACTCTGGGAGGCCGAGGCGGGCGGATTGCTCGAGGTCAGGAGTTCGAAACTAGCC